TCCGACTCGAGTAGTGATTGGTTTGCTATTTCATTACATCTTGCAGCCTTTCAAACAGTATATTGCTAGACATGCATCAATTGTTGTCCATGTATATTCCTAATTGCTCAGTGTAAACTGCAATTTCTTTCTCGCTGGTATGAATATATTAAGTAATATGTTTTCGTACTGAAAAGACTGTACTCAAATATCTTTTTTAATTAAATTTAACAGCTAATGGGAGCACATATGCTACAACCTCTGCTTACTTTTGACTAAATGTTTTTTTTGTTTTTTTCAGGTGCAGAGCCAGAATTTTTTCTCAGAAAGCAAAGCCACTGAAACTGCATATATTACAAAAGCATACTATTTGCTGCATGTCTGACAATTGTATAAAGTTTTGCAGGTCGTCTTTTTCTTTTCTTTGAGAAGTGCTGTCAACCAAAGCATAAATCAGGGATCTCGCCAGCCCAAAGTGAGTGCCGGTCGGTCATAAATATTAATGAGCTATGTGAATATTAATTACAATGAATATTAATGAGTTCGGTCGCAGCAAATATTTTTATTATGTTTCACAATTTAGAAGAGTTTGAATTTAAAAATTAAATATATTCGAAATGCGAATGCTGCAGACTAAAAAACAGAAACAAATAAATTATTGTTGCATTATTAATGTCTATTGTAAAAAGTTAAATAAAGCGCATTTGAAACGTTTTAGCCAGGAATATTTTCACGATCTTATTTACTTCAAATACATTCTCCTCCAAAAAAATCGACAATGTAATTATTTGGAGTATTGATGTAATTTATTATTTGTATCATCAATTTCTAAAACGTATATATTCACAGTAATGAACGAACAAATAAAACTTTCGAACTTTCAACGTTACGACGTGACATAACTTACTTCGCGATGTTATACACTGATTATACCAATAATTCCTTTTACTCAGTCATTGTTTACAAATTATAATGCGTGTCGGTCGGTACATAATTATAATAACAATTGGACAATAGTCCTGGTCGGAAGCATTTCCATGGTTGTCGCTAATTTTGAGTGCCGGTCGGGGCCGACCACCGTGGCGAGATCCCTGATAAATATGTGTTTCTCTGTACATAAAAGTTCAATTTCACACGATTTGTTAATATTAATGTATGATAATAAAAACTTGATAATATTTTTCAGGATTCTTGCACTTTATTTGTATCATTGTCATATGAGAAGTACTCTTGTCCTTATTTAGAGATATTTAAACTAATTCAGGGCCCATAAACTACATCTGTAGATCTGTACATGAAGTACATGGGAAGTAAAGTTGTTGACACATGTAATGTACACCAAGGATCATTGCAGTTTCTCAGTTCCTCATCTGGTGCTAGTACTTGTAGGACAGTATCTTTGCCCTGTTACTGTCTAAAATATCAGAAGTTTTTCACTGGAACAGTTCTGTGATTGACAGTGTTCTTGTATTAGGAATACAGTTGTACAAGGAAGTTTATCCAAACAGACACAACACTGACTCTTCAACATATTTGCATACCTGTTGTACTTGTTTGTTGCTCTCTGGTGTTCTTGCTGAGACCAGGATGGTGAGTGCTATAAACTTGAAAATGCCATAGAAATCATGTTTGCCAATTTATGTCCATGCCAAAAACTGGACAAATTATATGTTGCAACTTTCAAATGACAACAAGTGAAGGCAGTGTCATTCATGACCTGTTTGATTGGATAAATTTGTACGACTTGGAAGCCATTTTTCCCCTCAAAAAACTAAAAAAAAACAAGCTTTTTCTCAGATATGTGTCATCCAGTTTTGTTCGAAGTTGGTACAGGGACAGGTAATAATTGTTTACAAGTGCACATCGCATTATATGTTTAACAAGTTATAAATTGTCTCAGAAAAGCCAAATGAATAAATTTTTACCCCACCCCCCTAAAATTGTAACACATCAATTCTGAACAATTAATAATGGAATTTTAATACAGCTCATAATGAATTAATTCACTCTAACACAACCCCAGTTCATTATAAGTTTTTAAATTTTTTTTCTGAGCGGGGCTATGACATGACATGTCTTGTTTGTTATTATTCATTGACTCAAATTGCTTGTTATTCAGACAACTAGATGACAAACAGGCTTCCATTATTGGTGAATATCGCATACAAGGCACCTAAATTGACAACATACTTGACTGGTTGGCTGATTGTATTTTATTTTGTATCATAAACAAATCGTTGATTTCATGATGGCTACTGTTTCCATGGTTTCAGATATGCTGCTCTTGCAATTCAGAAACTCCCAAATGGTAAAATAAGCACAACTCAAGAACTCAAAGGTTTGGATATTGTAAGAAGAGATTGGTGTGATCTTGCTAAAGATACTGGCAAGTAAGTAACCAACCGCTATCTTAATGTTGCTTTGCAAGTATTTTATATAGAACAAGTACAGTCCCTTTTTCAGGGGAATGAGGAAATGAGGAAAAATGAGGAAAATTTGAAATATGATTAGTTCATGTAATTTAGTTTGTAATGTTCTTATTTTTATCTCAAAAGGAAGGAAGTGTGTGTATGTGTGTACTTGGATTGCTATATGTTGCGAGGACAAAAATACAGATATATAGCAACTTCCGAGGACTTTTTTCATAGTTCTCGGAAAACATAATTTATATTAATAGTTAATTCGATTATTAATACGTTTTGCGTAGCTTAGGTTTAGTATCGGGGGAAGATATGGTTCATTTTATATT